GTCCTCCAAGGTCGAGAAGGGAGAGTGTTGACATGTCATGGGGTTGTTAACCAATGTCATAAAACAATATGGGTACTGACTGTTTAATGAGAAACTATTTGTTCTGTAAACCTTCATCTGAAGTACAATAAACATTTTTTTTTAAAGTTTATGCTGCTTCATATTATATTTAAATTTAGGACTATCAAACATTTATTATAGGAGTTAATGAATGTTTAAAATTTAATGAATATTTAACTTCTCTAAGAAAAATCCTATACTGAGTTGCTTTTTCAACCTGGGTAAAATTGATTTCTTTACTGTTGTCTGTCTGTGATACCCCAGCTATGCTCCAGTTGTGTATGCTGTTCGTGTTCATATTCATCCATCCATCCATTCTTCCAATATTTCTTGAATTCCAATGATGTGCCAGGCACTGGGGATACAGCTGTGAACTAGACAAATAAAAGTCCCTGCCTTCATGGAGTTTACGCTGTAACTCAAGTCAGTAATGTAAGTTCATCATGTTTAAAAGTCTGGGGCAGAAAGGCCCGTGTGACTTCACTGGTGAATTCTATCAAATATTTAAGGAAGTAATATCAGTTCTTCACAAACGCTTTAAGAAAGTAGAAGAGGAGGAAAAAATAATAATAAATTTTTTTAAAAAAAGGAAATAAAGGAGGAGGGAACACTTGCTATTATGGATTGACATAATACCTTATGTAGGAAATCCACAAAACTACTATAACTAATAAACAAGATTAATATACAAAATCACTATGTTTCTATACACTAACAATGAATGATCCAAAAATGAAATTAAGAAAACAATTCTATTCAGAATAGCACCACCAAGAATAAAATACTTATGAATAAATTTAATGAAAGAAATACATACTGTATGCTGAAAATTACAAAACACTGTAAATGCAAAACTATAAAACATTGCTAAAAGAGAGTAAAGAAGAATTAAATAAATGGAAGGACATAATAAATGGAAAGATGGCCATTCTCCCCAAACTGATGTATAAATTTAATGCATTTCTATCAAAATCCCAGCAGGCTTTTTTTTTGTGTGTAGAAATTGACAAACTGATCCTAAAACTTAGATGGAAGTACAAAGGAATAGCAGAAACTATTTGGAAAACAAGAATATAATCGGAAAACTTACATTACTCATTTCAAAACTTAATGTAAAGCCACGTTAACCAACACATTGTGGTAGTGGCACAAGAAAAGCCATATAGATCAACGGAATAGAATTGAGAGTCCAAAAACAAATTCTTACACTTTTGGTCAACTGATTTTCAACAAAGGTGCCAAGCAAATTCAATGGGGAAAAGGATATCTTTTCAACAAAGGTGCTGGGACAATTGTATAGCCATGTGCCAAAAAAAAAAAGTACTTAGCCTCTTACTTCCCACTATACAAAAAAATTAACTCAAAATCGATCATAGATCTAAATGTCAGAGCTAAAGCTATAAAACTTCTACACAGGAAGTTTCAGATACAGGAGAAAACACAGGATAAATCTTTGTGAACTTGGGTTGGACAAAGAGTTCCTAGATATAACAGCAAAATTCAGACCTGTAAAAGAAAAAACCTGTAAATTGGCCTTCACCAAAATTAAAAACTTTTACCCTTCATAAAAAGAGGAAGACCCTCAATGAGATACATTGACATGGTAGCTGCAACAATGGGCTCAAGCATAACAACGATCATGAGGATGGCGAAGGACTGGGCAGTGTTTCGTTCTGTTGTACACAGAGTAGCTATGAGTCGGAACCAACTCGACAACACCTAACAACAACAACTCTTCAACAGATATCATTATGAAAATGAAAAGGCAGTCCACAGAGTGAGAGGAAATCTTTTCAAATTATATATATAATAAGGGACTTCTACCCAGAATGTATGAAGAATTCTCACAACTCAATAAGAAGACAAAACCCAATTTAAAAATGGGCAAACTATTTGAATAGACATTTCACCAAAGAAGATATGTGGGATGACTAATAAGCCCATGAAAAGCTGTTCAGCATCGTTAGTCATTAGGGAAATGAAAATCAAAACCACAACGACATACCACTACACATCCAGTAGAATGGCTATAATCAAAAAGACAGATAATGCCAGTGTTGGCAAGAATGTAGAGAAACAGAAACACTGAGGCATTGTCCGTGGGATTATAAAACAGGGCAGTCACTTTGGAACGCAGTTTTCCATTTTCTTTAAAAGTTAATCATAAACTTATCATATGACTCAGCAATTTCATTCCTTGGAATCCACCCAAGACGAATGAAAACATATGTCTACACAAAAACCTGTACACAAATGTTCTTAGTAGCATTATTCAATAAATAGCCAAAACCTGGAAACAATCCAATGTCCATCAACTGATGCATGGATAAACAAAAATGTGGTATATCTATACAATGCAATAGTATTCAGCCATAAAAATGAACGAACTATTGATGCCTGCAATAACGTGGATGAACTTCAGAAACATCATGCTAAGTGTAAGAAACCAGATAAAAAAGACTCCGTGTTGCATGATTCCATTTATGTGAAATGTCTAGAAGGCATTTATAGAGATTGAACACAGATAGGTGGTTGTCTACGGCTGGGGGTAGGAACAGGGAATGACTGCAACCAGCCTCAGTGGAACTTTTTAGGATTATGGAAATATTCTAAAATTGGATTGTGGTGATGGTTGCACAACTCTATACATTTATTGAAAATTGTTCAACTGTACATTCACAATGGGTTTTATATGGTTGTGAATTATACCTCAATAAAGGTATTTAAAAAAGAAAAGGCCTAAGGCAGTGATCTCCTTCACAGGGTGTTCACATACCGTTTTGTCTAAGCTGTAGCTCTCAGCTCTGGCCTTGGCTGAAGGCTGGCAATAGTGCCCACTTACCCGAGAGTCTCCTGATGGGCTGCAGCAGTTCTTGGGTACCAGGCAGTGAGTGACAAGAATTCTGGGATCTTTGGTGGTGATGGACAGGCCCTTTTGCAGGATTTGAACCAGCCGAGTCCAGAAGTGGAACACAGTCTCAGGGTGGTCAGGGTGGAGCTTCAGGTAGTAGATCTTCTCAGTGACTGTCCTCAACCGCAGGATGCGCTCAAGGTGATCACAGACCTGGAGCTCCACAAACTTCAATGGGAGAATCCTGCAGGTGTGAGGGAAGACACACTTTGACGGCATTGCTTCTGATAAGACCCTGTCTTCATAAAAATGTGGGGTGTCTTCTTCAAGACTGAAGCTTTTGGGGAGAGAGTGCTTAGCCTAGTGGTGCTCAAATTTTGGAGAGATCAGATTCACCTGGGGAACTAGTTTAAAATGCAGACACCTGACTTCTACCTCACAAAGATTCAAATTCAGTACGTCTAGGGTATGGCCCTGGAATCTGCATTTTAATTTCCACCCACCCTACCATTATTCTCAAGCTGATGTTCCCTGAGCCCTGCTTTGAGAGACACAGCCTGGGGCAAGATGGCTGGGGTTCTAGGGTTTTAGCACAAAGGGAGCATCCCTGCTCTGCCAAGAGTTGGCCCCATTGTTTAGCTTGTCCATTCATTGACCTTAATGCCTCAGTTGCTCTTCACCAAGGGGCTAAGGCCAAGGAACTGACTCTGGATCTAATAATGTTCGTCAGCTGGAGCTGGGCTATACTTGCTATAAGTACGTCCAGAACGTAACAGAAAGGTTTGTCACAGAGGCAGCGTGAGAAAGGGTTTTCCTGGACTCCTAGAGATACCTTGTGATTCTTGAGATTTACTACAGATTACTTGAAGTGGCCCAAACATCAAAAAGGGCTGTTTTGTCCCAGACAAGCTTGATGTCACTGTATGTTATAGTTCTCAGAGAGACTTAGTCACATTTTTTTTTGTTGTTGTTGTTATAGTCACACTCATTTTATCGATAGGAAGACTGAGGGCCAGCAAGTGACTGTGACTTCTTCAAAATTATTTGCAGCTAGTTAGTTGCACACCGAGGACTAGAACCTGCATCTCCCAACCAGTGCTTTGCCTGCCAGACCTCACTGCCTCCTCAGCGCTTGGACAAACGCTGAAGGATTTCCTATGGATTCAGCGGAACGAATGCGGCAAGAAGGGAAGTGGGCGCTCAGACTGGCCTCTCACTCTGTCTGCACAAACCTCCCTTGGTCCCGCTTGGTTTGCCTGCTGCAGGTGTGCCACCTGTTTGCAGTTACTGTTATCTAAAGAAATCAGTGTCATTGCTGATGACTTCTTTGCTTTCTCTCCCCACTGGGTTATCACAGTGCAGCCTCCACTTGGAGTCCACTCCTCTTGCCCCCTGTTCCCGTCTGAGTTGCTTACCTCTTCAGGATGATGTCTGGGGCTATAGATGGCCTGTTCCATGTCTGGCTCTGCCCCTGGTGCCACTTGACACTGGCCATGAGGAGGATGTTGGGAAGGGGCAGGCAGGGCACGGAGGAGGTCACCCCCAGGGCCATAGTTTTGGAGGCTTTGTAGATGTCTATCCAGCTTCTGCCCCTCCTGACCTGCAAAGCAGCCCCACAGCATGGCCTGAGCACTCAGCAGAGGCAGCGGAGTGTACCAACCCAGGCTCCTCAGCCTCGGCACTGTTGATGTTTGGGGCTGCCCTGTACACTGGTGCCCATTTAGCAGCATCCTGACCTCTACCTCCTCCCCCAAGTGGTGACAACCAAAAATCTCTCCAAACCAAAAAAACCCTTTGCCATCGAGTTGATTCTGACTTATGGTGACCCCATGTGTTACAGAATGGAGCTGCTCCATAGGGTTATCTTGGCTGTAATCTCTGCGGAAGCAGATCGCCGGGCCTTTCTTCTGTCTGTACCACCAACCTCTAGGTTAATAGTCAAGTGCAAAGCATGTGTGCCATCTAGGTACCTTGTCAAATATCCCCTGGGAAGTATAGGGGCAAAATCACCTCCAGTTGAGAATCACTGTTTTAGCCTAGTTTGGTTAAATGATTGTAATAACATTTAAACTACCTACTATTAACCAACCTGCCATCTATAAGTTTTCTGTGAATCCACCCCCCACTGTTTCTTGGCTTGTCTTTGAAAACCTTGCCCTGGTGATCTCAAAAGAGATCCTGTCCATCTTCCAACTCCAAAGTTCTCTTTGCTCTCAGTTCCATCTGACCTCAGTGAAGAGGCACTGAGTGCCCTTTACATGGAATACATGGCCTCCTGTGTTTGCACCTAGTTCTCGGGTCAGTCCAGTCCCTTTCATAGCTAAGGAAATGAATTCAGAGTGAGCAGGTTACTTGCAGAATTACTCCTCCCAATGAGAAGGCAGAGGGCTGGGATCCAAGCCTAGGTCCCTCTGGTCCCCAGCTTGTCACAGCATTTCTGTCCCTAACCCTCAGCAGGGATCTCATTTCGTTGCCTCTTTGTTCATCTGCTTGGGGCTTGCAGCCTGGACGATGAGTAAATTGGGGGATCCCAATACTCAACCCCTCAGAGCAAAGACTGCCTGACCTCTCCTCAGGTTGATAAGAAAAGGTTACTCTTGTTGCTGGTTGCCGTCGAGTCGTTTCCGACTCCTGGTGACCCCTATGTGTGCAGAGTAGAACTGCTCCGTAGGGTTCTCAAGGCTGTGATCTTTCAGAAGCAGACCGCTAGGCCTGTCTTCTGAGGTTCCTCTGGGTGGGTTCAAACTGTCAGCCTTTCAGCTAGTAGTCGAGCACTTAACCAGGGGTTCCATCTGACCTCTGTCCACATGAAAACTGTCTGCAGAATCCCTGTCTGGGGCCCTGCAAAGCCCGGGTACAGATGGGGGTGGCCTTGCATTCCGGGCCTGCTAGCTTCTCCTGGCCTCAGCTCTCACTCCAAACTAGTCCCTGGGACAAGTTCTCCCAGTCCAATCTTGGAAGCAGGTCTACAAGATGCTAGGAGTGCTGTTCTGAGCAACCCAGGAGTACCTGGACAAAGTTGCTTTCAAACACCACTGAGTCAGGAAACAGGTTGAATTCTGGAGAATGCACCATCTGGCAGAGCAGTCCCTCCTCCACACCAAAGCCCACGCCAGGGTTCAGCTCCCCATCCACAGGCAAGAGGCCCCTGCATTCTTCCCAGGCATTCAGTGGAGGGAAGGTTGGATAGGATCTTGTGACTTTTACTGTCTTCTTCGATTTCCACCAAGGCTTTCTGTGTGGAACTGATGACAACATTTCTACACATGCTCAGGGGCCTGCTGCACGTTTGTCCTGGGATCTCTCTTCCTCCTGGCCCTGGGCTGCAGGCCCAGGCCTGGGACCGCCACTCAGCTCACAATGATGAATGGATGACATCATGAAAAACCAGGGCAGGCCCACAGGAAAGGAAGTGGAAGAGCCTCCCTTCCCCTCCTGAAGGCCTTTATGATTGTTGATGTCCTGGTATTCCCCAGCCCTTCTCTGGACAGAGGAGAGCTCTTCCATAAAGTGCTGAGAAGGCTGTGAGCCAGGCAGGAAGCAAGGAAGCTCCTTTTACTGTTAAAAGGGAAGTAACCTCTCTGCCTTTCAACTCTCACCTTACTCTTCATGCAACCTACTCCAAACAATTTTTTTTCTTTTTACTTTTTAAGCTAAGTGCAGATTCACATGCAGCTAGTTGAGAGATCTCATCTGCCCTTCACCCTATTTCCCCCGATGGTAATATCTTACATAATTATTGTACCATATCACAGCCAGGATATTGACATTGATGCGACCCACTGATCTTAGCCACACAAAAAGGTAAAAAGGGATCTGTATTAGTGTCCTAGAGCTATCACAACAAAGTACCACAAGGTGAGTGGCTCAGAAAAACAGAAATTTATTGTCTCACAGTTCTGGAGGCTAGGAGTCCAAAATCAGGGTGTCGGCAGTGCTGATTGCTCCTGAGGGCTCTTGAGGGGGAGTCTGTTCCATGCCTGTCTCCTAGATGACATCTTCTGGTGACAACTGGTGACCCTTGGCTTGTAAATCACTCCAATCTCTGCCTCCATCCTCACATAGCTGTCCTTTCTCTGTGTCTGTCTGTCTCTTCTCCTCTTTTATAAGGACGCCACTCAGATTGGATGAGGACCCACCCTGCTCCATTATGACCTCATGCTAACTGGTAACATCTTCAAAGACCCTATTTCCAAACAAGGTCATGCTCAAAGATAGGTTGGAGGGCTAGGACTTCAACCCATCTTTTGGGGGGACACAATTCAATCCATAGTAGGATCCCAGGGGAGTGAAACGGAGCACCAACAATATGTGGGGAACACCACACCCCCCTTCTCTACCTTTTACCCTCACTTGCTGTCTTCGTTGTACTCAGCATTATATTGTACTATTCTGACACCTACTTACACTCTCCAACTAGAGAGTAAGTTGCGTGAGGTCAGTGATGTTCATTTATTTGGTTCTCTGTCGTATCCTGAGTGCCTAGAACACTGCCTGATGCGTGGTCGGCTTTAGTCAATATTTTTAAATGAATGAATGAATGATGTTTTTTCACAGAATTATGCAACCTTTCTGAACTCCATTTTTTATTGTGGTAAATATATACATACAAATATGTAACATTTACCATTTCAACATTTTTTCCATGTACAAGTTCAGTGACATTAGTTATATTCATCATGTTGTATAACCATCACCACTATCCATTTCCAAATTTTTCTATGACTCTTAACAGCAGCTGAGCTTCATTTTTTAAAGTCTGTAAAATGGGCATAACGCTACCCATCTGCAGAGAATTAAATGCTATAAAGTGTGCCGTGTTTCCAGCCCATAGTGCCCAGTGGAGTCCCAAACAGTTTTAAGGGCTGTTTGTCTATTTAAGGAGTCCCTGGTGGTGCAAACAGTTAACACACTTGGCTGCCAACCAAAAGGATGGAGGTTCAAGTCCTCCTAGGGGTACCTTGGAAGAAAGGCCCGGCAATCTTCTGAAAAATCAGCCATTGAAAACCCTGCGGAGCACAGTTCTACTGACGCACATGGGGTCGCCATGAGTTGGAATTGACTTGATGGAAGGGGTACTGATATGTCTGTTGAAAACCTAGCGCTCCTGAGACGTCCGGGATGTGAATCCCCACCCGTCCCAGTTATCGGCAGAAGCCTTTTCTGGTTATGGAAGTTGTTGCAGGGATGAAGTGCTCTGCTGCGGCTGGCTGGTTGCTTCTGCAGGGCTCACGTCCCTGAGGAGGTCACACGGAAAGAGCAATAGAAGTAATTAGTTTCTTACCCAGAGGCTGGCATTGGGAGTGGGCCAACTGGGAGCAAGCACCTGGTGAGCAGCTCCAGCTGAGTCTCCATCCCCCTTTGAGAGCTGCGCTGCCTCTCACCGCCGCCCTGGGGGAAGCAATCCCGGCACCGCTAGATCAGGGCAAAGCACCAAGGAGACTGACCTCTATTCACATCCATTTCAGGGAGAAATGTGTTCTAATTTGGACAGAACCCCAGAACTTATTAAATAATGTATTAAACATAGAGGTCAAATGAGATAAATTCAGAAAAACAGCTTATGACAAGCAATGCACGCGAAGTTCAAGCATGGACGTTTGTTTCTGCCATTTCGTTATAAAGCTGGGAGAGGGCTAACAGGTCGTGAGGCTGTCCTCTTCGGACTCCATCAACCCCAGCACGAGGTCATTTATGATATTCCCCTGTTCACGTACCTGTCCCAGCGCCCTGTTGTTGTTGTTAGGTGCCGTCGAGTTGCTTCCAACTCATAGCGAACCTGTGGACAACAGAACGAAACACTGCCTGGTCCTGTGCCATCCTCAGGATGGTTGTTATGCTTGAACTCATTGTTGAAGTTAGTAAAGCAACTTCCAAACTGATGTGCCTCATTTTCTTTTGGTGATCATGTAGCAAAAATGTCCTGTGTGGTAACATGCTCTAAAGATGGGGTCAGAGACCAAGCTCTGTGATTGACATTTCTCTGGAAATAGATTGGAAATGGAACCCACAGTACACAAGTGAAGGTAATTCATACCCTCATATACTGCTTTTCGTAGTTAAAGCTTAGTCACAGGGGTTAGAGGGAATGGGGAGTGATTGCTGATGGGTACGGGGTTTCTTTATTGGGTGATGAAAATGCTCTGAAGTTGATTGTGGTGATGATGGTTGCACAGCTCTGTGAATGTATTAAAAACCATTGAGTTGTGCAATTGGAAAAAAAAAAAAAAGCTTAGCCACACAATAAAGTTTACTACAAACCCAGAACCAGATGGTTTGCATGAATCTGGCCATTCAGACATCCAAAAAACCAAACCTGTTGCCACTGAGTTGATTCAGACTCATAGCGACCCTAGAGGACAGAGTAGAACTGCCCCATGGGGTTTCCAAGGAGCAGCTGGTAGATTTGAACTGCCAACCTCCTGGTTAGCAGCCAAGCTCTTAACCACTGTGCCACCAGGGCTCCAGACATCCAGAAGTCCCCTGCTATTAGGAAGCTGACTTCTGTTTTCCATACGGTCTGTTAGGACCACTTCTGCAGTGTTCAGCATCCCTCAGTGGAAGAAGTGTTAGCACTCAGTCTAGAAAGTTAATTGGGAGGAGGTGACATTTCAGCTTTAACAAGGTGCTAAGCAATTGTATAAACCATTTGCTGTCGAGTCAACTCCTACTCACGGTGACCCCATGTGTGTCAGAGTAGAGCTATACTCCATAGGGTTTTCCATGGCTGATTTTCGGAAAGTAGATCACCAGGCCTTTCTTCTGAGGCAGATTTAAATGGGACAGATGGTTATAGACAGGCCCTTCTGCAGGATTTGAACCAGCTGGATCAAATGGTGGACTCAAACCTTCAACCTTTTGGTTAGCAGCTGAGCATGTGAACTATTTGTATCACTCAAGGACTCCAAGCAATTGTACGAATGGTGCTTTAAGATTCCCCCTCCATTTCTTCTCTACTCCTACCTCAAAAATCTAGCACACAGAATCTTTTAAAAAGCCATATGCCAGATATATCCATTCTCTCCATCTCCTTTAGTAATAGAATGCCTGATTTTTAGTTGGGCACAGGGTCTTCTGGAATACAGATTACGTTTCCTATCCTCCCTTGCAGCTAGGTAAGGCCATGTGGCTAAGTCCTGGCAAAAGAGATGTAAGCTGAAACGTCAGGTGCAAGTTCAGCAAGGAATCCTTAAAGGAAGAGAGCATGCTCTTTTTCGCTTCTTGGTTTTTCTTTCTGGCTGGAATACAGACTTGATGGCTGGAGATTGAGCAACCTTCTTGGGTCATGAGTAACATGATAGCATCATGTATCAAGTAGCAAGATAAAAGGCTCCAGTTCCATGATGATCATAAAATTTCCATGTTGTTGCTGGAAATATGGTGATGAGCACCTCGGTTGTCAGTTGTTAGTGGCCTTCAGGTCGATTCTGACTCATGGAGACCCCACATGTGCAGAGCAGAATTGCTCCATAGGATTTTCAAGGCTGTGACCTTTCAGAAGCAGATCGCCAGGGCTGTCTTCTGAGGTACCTCTGGATGGGTTCAGACTGCCAACTTTTTGGCTGGTAGTTGAGTGCTTAACCATTTGTGCCACCCAGGGACTCCTTAAAACTGTCATACCAGTCCTTAGCTGTGTATCTCCAGACCACATTTATGTGTGAAAGAAATAAAATTTGATTTTCTGTCATATTCAGCCAGAATTAAAACTAATTGATTCAATTAGATAAAACTCCTATCCGCTCTCCAGAATTAGTTTCACAGCAAAGCACGGTACTATTTTCCAACAATTCTAAACAATGAAGAAAATAGGGTTAATTTACAGGAGGTTCAGGGCCTTAAGAAGGATAAACTTGTAGCTTCTGGGGAAAGTTGTTTAAATGTATATTCCAGATACATGGGCAACACCATTGCTGTGTGTTCAGTGATGTTGATGCTGTCATAGTCACTGCTCTCTGCACATACGGTGATGAGCACCTTGGTGATAGTCTCCCTGACTATACTGACTGTCCTTTGGTTTGAGGCTAAAGCCACATTGGCGGTGTCAGGTGTCATGTCAAAGCTTGCTCAGGGCTCACCGGGCTACCAGTTTGTCAGCTGGGGTTTGATCCAGGTCTTGTGGGGCTTAAAGCTTATACAGTTTGGGAGATTCTTAAAAATAAAAAGAACACCAAAGTATGACACACAATGGCTAGAGGCCCTCCTAGGACCTTGGAAGGGCCTGTGTAAGTGAGGGGCCATGAAGCTTAAACAACATTGTT